TTTTTGAAAACAAATGTTACTTCAATCAGAGTAATAGAGCACTGAGTAGTCTGAAATCTGCAAGTGGCTTTATGGCAACTAGTTCCATCCTTGGGGGCTGAGTGCTTTAGGTAGGTAGGCAATGATGGGGTTTGCTTGGAACTAGGATATCTTTGGGAAATAAGGGAATAGGGGATTCTGGCAGGTATGTGGTCCTTTCACCTTCTTTCAGTAACTGAAAATATTTAAACCTTGGTTTTGAATGAAGAGGGAAAGAATGTATTTTTGCTTTACTTGCCAAGTTGGAAGCTGTCAGTATCATACTTAGTATTGCATCTGTCAATTCTTTTCATTAAAATGATTGTACTATTGTTTCTAAAATGTTAGTATAAACATCCCATTTGTAGGTGGCTGGGTCTGTCTATTGATGAACTTGTGAATGAAACAGATGAGGTTGAATCTAGCCAGTACTGACAAATCCTGAATGGAAGAGGCAATAAAAGAATGGGTTCCTCTAGTCTGGTTTGAGTCCTTGTCAGTTTGTGTTGTGTTTTTTTTATAGCTGTGTTCAGCAGGGATGAATATTCATGAGTACCTGTCGCTGTATTCCCTGCTCCTGTTTGCTTTCCCTCTGCACATCTCTTACGCACTGAGTGTCTTAGAGCCTCTTTTCACTGTTCAATTAATCTTCAGGGTCAGGGCTTCGCCTGATGCCTTGATCAGCACTTAACATGTGTAGCAATTTATTTCAGCAGTGACAAATCATTTCCTTGGCAGACGAGAGCAGAGTAAAAAAGCAAAAACCCTAAAAATCTGCTTCCAAACCTCACTTCCCAATGACTTGTTCAAATAAATAACGTTCCTCTCCCTCCCTGCCTTTCCTCACCCATCCTTCTCAGCCAAAACCCAAACAGACACGCCTAACATCCCCCTGCCAGCCCCGGAATCCATAGTAGATGTGTTTTTCAAAATGCATTGCAGCCTGTGAGGCAAAGCAAAGACAAAATTTAATGGTCCGGGGGTGATTACTAAAATGGTAGGTGGTGTATTTAGAATCATAGAATAATTAGGGTTGCAAAGGACCTTAAGATCATCTAGTTCCAGCCCCCCTGCCATGGCAGGGACACCTTATGCTAAATCATATCACCCAACGCCTCGTCCAACCTGGTCTTGAATAATTTTCAGGGCCTTGGTTGCTCCGTATTGAGTGCCTGGGCTTGAGAGGTTTTCTCATTAATTTTTATGTGTGTCCTGACAACAATGAAACAACTCAAGCAGTAGGTTTCATCAGTAGAATGATTTAATACTGATCAGGCTGTTTTATATCTAGGATGTGTTTTGTGTGATGTCAGAGTGATTATTTATTTCATGCTGACTGTCTGCTAAGTGTAGTATGTGGTCTCTGTAAAACCCCTGTAGTGCTGGCAGTTCTCAGAGATTTGGGTAAGAAATGCTATATCTCTTTTTGCATCCTCACTGCTGATGCCTTTTTGTTGCTTGTGGTACCTCTTGTTCTATGCTGTTCTCCAGTCTTTCAAAGAACTATTGCATAGTGAGAGCTGGTTTATTCTGTGGCAGGAAGCATAAGCTCTTTGAAGAATCTATTCAGTTGCACAGTTGTTCAAAATAACCACCACTTGAAGGTTCGTCTTTTATCTGATCAGCTGAATTCTGATAAATATGGCAAAATTTTCCATAATTTTCCATAATGAGTTGCTTTTCTGATGCTTATTACTGTCCTTGGGGTGTAGGGCAGTGTTGTCACTTTGCTTTCAAAAGCTTCTTGCGCAAACTTTGTTACAGAGAAACTCATTTAATATATAAATACTGAGGGATGTGCTCTGATAGTTGCTAAAGTTGATCAGAGTCACAGAGCATATCAAAAAGGAAGATCCAGAGTCAGAATAACTTGGAGGTATTACTCATAAGTAGCTCCTTTCCTCACCTGACTGAAAAAATATTTGAAGTGTCTATTTTCTTACTATCCTAAACATAAAAATCTTGGGGAAGATGGAGAGCTGGTTTATAATGAACATATTAAAAGCAAAATATGAACACATGCAGTAAGCTGCTTGATATCAAAACTCAATATTGCTGTCATATTGGTAGAAAATCTGCCACTGGTAGGAATAAGGTTGAACAGTTGTATCGTGATGTTTCTTAAAAGACATCTCAGTTAAGACTCAGCAGATGTCAGGGAAGGTTTTAAGGATTAGATTATCTTTCGAATATGTGCTCCTGACCACACTAATGTAACTGTTGAGTCACGGAAATGGGCCTTTTTGAAGACAAAGATTAGTTGGGGAAAATTCCGTGACTCTTCCCTGAGAGTCCATTTCTCCAGTGAAATGTTTGTTGGGCTTGCAGCCCCATGTTGGGTCCTGAGAGAGGGTGGCAGAAGCCCTCAGGAGAGCAGATGAAGCTGTGCATTCACAGTGTGGCTTCATTCCAGGTTCCAGTCTAGATTCCAGGATTCCAGTCTAGAGCTTTAGTGGGACTCGTGAGGATCAGTGTTTGTTCTTTGCCTGCTGAAAGAAGGAAGAGCTGAGAGTGTGGCCATTACATTTTTGAACTGATATGCTCTGTTTAACTGAACTGGAGACCATGTATTTGCTAACTGATGATTTTGAGTCTTCCTAGAGGACACATTTAAGCACAATAAATTAGTGAAATCTGCTATGCACTGCATAGACAGGTCCGCTTCATTTGGAGCCAGGTGTTTAAGAGCTGAGCTATGTCTTTCCGGAAGTTACCATCCCACCTATTGTATCCCTATGCTTCCTTTTATTTGTGGCATTGTGCTCAAAGTTTTGATAGAGAGAATATCTTAGTACAGCAAATTCTGAAAGGTGAAAATAGTAAAATTTTTTTTTGGGGGGGGGGGGGGGGGGTATGGAGGATGACACCTCAAACACCTGGGTATTACCATGCTGCAGTTAGCAAAATTTGACCAAAACATCCTGCCCCAGATTTTTAGGAAGAAAAATCTAAAGGTGAGGAATTAAAATCTAAAGGTGAGAAAAATCTAAAGGGACAGTATTTAGGTGCTTGATACACTTTTGAGGATGAAGGGGTGTCTAGTCTTGACTTTAGCCTCCAAACTTAAGCAAACACAAACAAACAAAACCTGTCAACTGCAAATATTTATTAAACAGCTGTTAAAGTGAAATTTTTGTAATTGCAAGAGAAGCAGATACTTGGAAGTACTTGATAGCTGCTTGTTACTACTTTATGTCCATCTTACAAGAGTCAGGAGCATAACTTTTAAGGTTATCTGTGGTGTAGGCAAGTAAATAACACCTCACAGAAAAATTGTGTTTGGTTTCAGAGGATCCGTGTTTGACACATACACACAGTATACTGTATACATTTTAACCGCTTCTGATGTCCTGTGTTGTTTTGTGGCCACTACTTCAGGGAAAAAGGGAGAGCAAATGGATGGAAATAAAGTAGAAAGCAGACAATTTCATATTTTTGAAGTAATAAGGTTTCAGTGAATATTTTATTTTTTTTTCTGTATAGTCCTCACCTTCATGATTTGAGAGGTAGTTAAGGTATTTGTAATATCCCACTAGTTTGATCACAACTCCTGTTTGTGACATTTTGTAATGAGTATATAGCTTATAAATAACAGTTTGAAGGTATAAGGTTATACAGAGATAATTGCACAGCTGAAACGCATTGGCACAAGACCAAAGGCCACGCACTTTCCACCATCCCTTCTAAATTGAATAACTTCACTTTATGAGGTGTATCATCAGAAATTGTTTTCATTACTCCCAGAGGGCAAACTGAGGTTGATAAAAATCCAATTCCGTATTACCCATATGTATGAATATTTATATTTTAAGAATCTTTGTCAGTTACATTCCTCACTGGCTGTCTGTGTGTGAATACATTGGTCATAGTTTCTGCCTATGTGCTTTACACTTTTAAACTGGTTTACTTCTCTGAGGCAGACTTCCTTTAAGTCTGCCTTCTCACATGATTGTGAGGCCCAGCAGGATTTTTCAAACTAAGCAAAACTAAACATGCTCCTTTCACTAAACCGTAGTTTCTCACATCCTCTGAATCCCACCATTCTGGATTCCACTTGACCCACATAGCATCCATTTGACTCATCCATTTCAGTCCTCAAACCCAGTATTTGTATATTTTCTTCACATTTTATGTTAAATAGCATATTCCGCATACAAGGCAAAGTATTTTGTGTATTCTGAGGCAATCTGAGAAACCCTTTAGTAAAGGGGAAACTAAGGGAGAATGTTTTTCCATTTTCTGCCAGTGATAAATTAGTGACTTATGAAATGTTGGAGTCACATCTTTTATTACTCTGCTTTTACAACATTAGATTATAGTCTTGTTTCAAGTGCCTTCTTTCCACTCCTGTTCCGTGCCTTTTCACTCCTCCCCAGTCTCCAAAAAAGAGGACTTTTGCTGTCTTCATACAACAGCTGTTTCCGTTTCTTAGCGTAAGAAGGAACATTCTGTATAAAGAACAGTATAGGAAAGGGACTGGTGTACAGAAATATTTACCCAGGATAATCTTTCAGCCTCTATCACTGTGTGGTTCAGGGACTTGCTTTTTCAGAGATGCTGTCTTTATTACTTGGAGGGTTTTTTCATCTACGAAGTTATCAGTTTTAAAAAACATATGTACTGTTATAGAAACAAAGAATAGCTTTTGGTAGAATTATCCTATTGCTCATGTTTTGGTATCTGGGTTTTTGTTTCTAGCCCAAAAATTAAATTAAGGAATTAATAATAAATTATTTTTGTTGGTTATAACATTGCATTAAAAAGTTTCACACCAGTTAGCTAATACTCTCAGTCTATTACACTCCCAGTACTTAGAACAAGGCTTTAGGGAAACCAAAGAGTAGTCATAATTAGGAATGCTTGGAGGAAAAATTAATAATGTTGTCATTTATAAATCTCTGCAACCTGTTATGCAGTTATTGCTTTCTTTTTTTTTTTTTCTGTGTTGGATGAAACAGTGTTTATACAGTTTTTCTCTACAGGTTATTGACATGCCAGAACACAGTCCTGGAGATATGGGTGGAACAATGAGGCTAGGGAAGAGAAAGACTGTTTTCAAAACACAAAATTCTGTTTTAAGTAAGTTACATTTCTGCTCTTATGACTTGCCTTTTGGGTAGGAACTCTGTAACATAGCAAAGCAAAAATGCCAAAGCACATTTTGTTACAGTACTACAACCTCAAGCAAGCATTTGGGTGACAGCTTTCCTGAGCTCATTCATTCTGGTCCTGTTCCTATATACGTTTACCCAGGATTGGAATGTAAAGAAGGAAATGAGAGACATAGAAGTCCCAGTGAAAAAATCAGTTAGGGTCCAACACTTTAAATAAACAGTGAGGAATCTGTTGAGATAAACTGGAAAGCAGATAGTTTAATTCCTTATTTTTTGGAGAAGATCAGAACATTTATTTTCTTTATGAGTTGATAGGATGTGTGAACCAGGACTGCTTGTTCTACCCCTGAAGCTTTTTGGTACCCCAGTCTCCTATGCATTATGCTCTTGACAGACCTAAATATCGCTTGTCATTCTCTAGAGTTGCCAGTATACCTCAGCTTTAAATGTCACCTGGCCTCACTGCCACAGTCCTCACTTTATGAAAGACTCATAGAAAGCTCTGGTAATTTACTCAGGAAATCTTATTCCTGGTTTTGATATTTTACAACTTGAATGGAAAGTTTGAAAAGGCAGTTCCTTAAAATTAATGCATATTTGCATTTTTGTAAAATTACAGTACTGTCACTCCACAATTTTTTGAGATCTTGGCAGTCTAGTTCCTGTACCAACCATTAAGTGAGATAGTAGTCCTAATGACACTAAGATAAATTGAGAGCAAAGTTTGAGCCATGGCTGTAAGTGAGAGAGATGATTAAATTCTGGTTTACTGCATGCTTCTAACTTACTCCTTGTTTCTCTGGAATGTAGAGTGTTCCAGATTAGGCTCAGTGAACTGCAAGAGTCCTTTGGGTAATGAGATCAGGAAAAGAGAGGAAAACAATATTCTCTGCCATTGGAGGTATTATGCCAGCTGCCATGCATAATCGATTAAAATGGAACAGATGCTACTAAAAGGCTTCTTTTGCTGCACCTATTGTGTACGACTGTTGTAAAACCCTGAAGGGATTTTATGTTGCTTGTTCATTCAAACTTACTTTATTTTAGGCTTTACAATTTAAATTAGTTTAAGTGTGACCTTTAGACTCTACTCTACCTAAGCTATTTCTGGTTAAGGAATGTTGAATGTGAATCCTGAATAAACTTGGGTAACATAAATTAAAAGAAACCAGTTGTCACTCAGAAAAGCATAATCTTGGAATGTCCTGTTATGTTCTAAATTTGACATTTTTAAATTACATCAAAGTGTTGTAATAACTATTAAAGCAACCCATTAGCATTAATTTCTCTTTTGTTGTATATTCAGGGAAACTTTATGGTGATGAAATGTTTGTGGAGGAGCGGCACAGGCATCGATATGAGGTAAGCACTGCTAGTGTAGGTTGTACTCAGAAGTTAAAGCTCAAGCAAATTACTTTTGTCTTGGTAGGCATGATTCTCCTTAAAGCTAATGTAGAAGCATAACCCAAAATTTAGTAATAGATAGTATAATTTAGATCAGAAGGAGCCTCTTCAGTCTTCTGGTCCAGCTTCCTGTTTTGAGCTGAGCCAGCTTCAAAATTAGATCAGGCTGCTTAGGATTTTGCTACATCTAGTTTGAATCTCTCTGAAGATGAGAATGTTGATCTTTTGACAATCTGTTCCAATGCTTAACCACTTCATTATGATCCCTTTTTTCCTTTATATCTAATAGGACATTTCCTTTGGCAGTTTGCTTTTTATTTCTCGGTCTTGCGCTGTGCATCTCTCAGAATAGTCTGGTTCAGTCTTCTTTATACCATTACATTAAATAGTTGAAGTCAGCAACAAGATCCAGTCTCTGCCTTCTCCAGGCTGAACAAATCCAGCTCATCCAGTCTCTCCTCCTATGCTGCATGTGGTCCAGCCCCCTAATCATCCTGGTTGGGTCTCCTAAGGACTTGCAACATTTTGTCAATCTTTCTTGCACCCAGGGGTCTGAAACTAGGAACAGTATTGCAGAGGTGTTCTTACAAGTGATCTGTAGAGAGGCTGTGTACTGGTTTTGTGGTAGAGAAGTTGCAGTGTCTTAGCAAAATGGTATTGGAGAGGGATAATCCCTGATGTCAGGGATTATTTGACTTTCTGTGAAGTATTTGAAAGCTAAAGGCTTATAATCCTTAAATGTGTTGATCCTTGGCTGATCTGGCTTATTTAACAGCTTAGATTATGTCCAGGTAGTGCACATTCTTTCATACATGGGTAGACTTCAGGCATCAAATGTAGGTGGACTTCAGGTATTTACAACTTGGAGGCTAATACAGATCACTTGCTTCCTACCATCCAACTCTGTATGCCTTTTGTGTAGGTCCACTCCTCTGTTTGAGAGCATCTCTGTGTATTCAGGGTACTGTCATTCAAGGAAATAAGTGAGAGCTGGACTCCTGGAGTTACTTCTGAGATAGTTCAGAAGGGACCTGACTCCACCAGTATCTACAGAGGGGCCTGAGCTATGAGATGTATGCATGCTATAAACTGATTCAGACCATGTTAAGTTTCCTTAAAAAGCTCGGAGGAGAATGTGATCATGGTAAAGGTGCTCAGAGTTTGAATAGTAACTGAGTGGTTAGAACATCACCAAGGAAATGAAACAGCTCACTGCAGAATTCTTCAGTTTGAAGGAGGAGCTGAACCACAGCTTGTGTCATAAGCACTGAAATGCAGTGTTCAAAAAGGAGGTCAGCTTTTATGCCTACTGCGGTGGGCCATTTAAAAAATGAGAAATGCAAGCTGCTCAGAATCAAAAGGACAGCAAGCAGAAGAGACCCTGGGTTTAATTTTTTTTAATATTATGTAGTAAGTTTTAAAATTACTAATTCACCTCTTACTAAATAAGCATGCCCGCTTTTACAGTTTTATGCCTGAGAGTTGTTAGAACAAGAAAGCAAAAGTTCCCAACTCTTTTTCTCAATCCTTTTTATTCTTGTATGCATACTGAAAACATTACAAATAACCTCTACTGTTTGATAAATCCAGAAATAAATAGAATTACAATTATTATTACTTTGAATATTTCAGGTGAACCCAGAGTTGACTCACTGCTTTGAAGAGAAAGGTTTGAAATTTGTTGGCCATGATACAGAGGGGAACAGGATGGAAATTATTGAACTGGAGAGTGAGTGTCGTACTTGTCTGTAGTACTTTCTAAGTCTATTAAAACCATGTAAACTATCAGTTTTTCAGTTCTTAAATGCATATAGGAATAATATTTATCTGTTATAACAGCCAAGATCATGTTGGGAAATGCTGCTGACTCCACCTGTGTGTTGCAGTGTGTGAAGATTCAGAGGGTGTTAGGAGGCATCTTACTCTTGTCAAGGATTGTGCATGTATTTGATTATCAGGGAGAGACATGCTCCTTTTCCAAAAGGTCCTAATTCTAGCTCATTGGGATTTGGCTGAGTAGAATCATAGAGTGATGTAGGTCAGTTACAGTCAGTCTAGCCCTCTGCTTCAACACAGGGCTGCCTTCAAATAGGGATCAGGTTGTTGAGAGCTGCATCAGTCAAATTTTGAGTATCTCCAAGTATGCTGTTTGTTGGATTTCAAACCACTCACCACTAGACTTTGAACCCAATAGTCCAGCCATTTTTTAACACGCTTTGTAGTCTACCCGTAGTCCACAGCTCCCAGATGGAATGCTAGGAAACCATATCAAAATCCTTGCATTGTGAAGTTGGGATTAAGGGAGGCTACTGCTCTCCCTTAATCCAAAGACTGATTGTTCCCAAGGTTGTTGTGCCTGGTTGTCTTCGTGTCCTTCATGTGTCTGGAAATGCCTTAGAAGAGGGTTTGTTTCATAATCTTGCCATAAGCAGAGGTTAGGTTGACTGTCCTGTAGTTCCTTATATCTTCCTTTTTGTCTTGAAGAAGAGCATGGTGACTGCCTTTTTCCAGTCATCAGAGACCTTCATGGTCACCTTGGCATTTCAAAGATAAAAACCATCTTCACAATGACATTGGCCTGCTCCATAAACACCCTCTAATATTCTTACTTACGTCCCAGTAACTAATATATGTTCGGTTTACTTCAGTATGTGAAGTATGTATACATGCAGTACAGCCAAAGTATAAACCATTGCTGGAATAAATTACTTAGAGAGGATGTGAAATCTCCATCCTTGCTGGTAGTAACCTTCAAAACTTTACTAGAAAAAGCCATCAGCAACCTTCTCACCTTCTGCTTTGAGCAGAAGGTGAAGATAGAGACCTCTCAAGATGTCTTCCAATTAATTTGTCTCTCAGTTACCCTCTGATTAGAATTATAGAAAAAAAGTATGAAAATCAAATAAAAAGCAAGTTCCTTTCTTTCACAGAGCTGATTCAGATGAAGGTTTGATACTGTGGAAATCTCATAGATTCAGGCTGCTTTACCAAGGAAGAGCTGATTTCTTTTCTAAGAAGTTCTGAAATAAAAAGGAACTAGACTGCATATGTTTGGTGTATGCAACACAGGGTAGCTCTTAGAAACAGTCCCTTTAATTTTGCTTGATTCTTTGGTCAACTCCTTGCTTTTAAGTCACTGTTGGCTAAATGACTATCAGCCAGCTGAAGATGAAGGTACAAGTTTTTTTTGTTTTCTTACATGTCCTCTAATTGCCATTTGTTAAGATAAATTCCATGCACGGAAGCATGAATTTATCATAAGAATACATTATCATCCCATGGAGTGCTATTTGTGACATGATGCTCCTGAAGATTCATTTTATGTACTCCATGGTATGTTGAAGAACAGCACTATAATTTTGAACCAGGGTTTGAATAGTCACTTACAAATAATGTCAAACAACTGCCCCACAGGGAGTAATCTGAGAGCAAAGGATACATGTGAATTCATAAAATACTAATCGTCATGGTGGGTTTTGCTTACTATGTTCCTGTTATATATTACCTTTGTTATGCATGCTGGTGTTGGGAGCTATTTTGCCTGCCGTGTCTGAAAGAATTTCCATAGAAAGCATCGTGAAATAAATCAGGCAGAATTTTTAAATTTCATGTTACTGTGAAAAGAATAAAAGCAGCAGTAAAACCTGGAATTATTTCACAAAGGGCTGCAAGGAGACTCTGATTACTAAAAAAAGACAATGATCGTGTGGAGGAGTGTGGGTTGGAGCAGAAATAACAGTACACAAGATAGCTTAGGCAAAGCTTTTAAGCAAAATATTCCCACAGGAAATATTTGGTGCTTTGTCATTGTCTTGTTTTGCACCTTTAAAGAGCTAAACTGCATGGTAGATAGAAGTTATGAGAGAAATTTAGGATCCAGGTTCTCTATAAGGCATAGCAGCAGAGAGCAGTATACTAGATCATATTATCTTCATGGAAGAAAAGCAAAGCTTTTTTTCTTATCATTTATTATGTAATGCGCAGAAATTCCTTGAATGGGATTATTTTGGAAATTGTTGAACCAGAAGAGATCTGTGGTTGATTTCATTCAGTGTCCTGGCACTAGAAGTGATTAATGTTATTTCCTTTAAAACAATATTCAGAGATGGAGCAGGTGCACATCATGGAAGACAGCGAAAACATTTTTCTTTCCTTCCCTTTTGAAGAAGACAAAAGGAAAGCAGAAGCAGTAGTTAAAAGAATTTATTTGATTTGTAAACAGAGCGCTGAATGTTTAAGAGAGATGAAGCAGCATGGCTTGTTTATCTTAGCAGGCAGAGTTGAATGATAGTGATAGTCATCCTTAATCACACAGGCCAAGCAGCAGGAAAGAGCAGTGCCATAAGAATTAATGGCAGTATGTATAAATTGGCAGTAACAAAGATGCCCCGTGAATTAGGAAAAGGTTTCAAAGCAAAAGGAAAGAGTATTATAAGAGTTTTCTAGTAGGAGCAAAAAAACCTAGGGGGTGTTATGGCAGAACCTTGACCCTGTGTGCTTGAGACTACATGATGTAACTGCATTTAATAACAGGAGACTGGACTTAATGTCCCAGAAGATGGATTCCAGGCCTAATTATTTGAAGCTTGTTTCCCACAGTTTTCTCTGTATGTTCCTTTCGTGTCCATCTCTTAGTGTGTAAACAGTGGCTATATGGTGGTGCTTGGTCCTTTAGGAACTGTTTTGGGTTTTTTCCCTCATATATATGGATGCATGTTTTGAATATACGTGCATAAATATATATTGGAAACCAAACTACTGTGAAAATAACATGATAAATGGAGACTTTGTGGGTGCTTCTCCCTCCCTCCCCCCTCCCCCCCATGTCAGTACAGGTTTGTTATTAAGCTTTTAATGACATCATTGTGCATGTTAGGGTCGAATCACAGCATGCTTTTTCCTTAATTTATCTTACTAATCTTCTGCCTCTGTTGTCAGTTGCTTTTTGTGGAAAAAGTAAAGGTATCCTGCTGCCTCACCCTTAAATTCACACATGCTGATCTGACTTCTTGAATTGTGTGAAATCTTCAATAACAGTTGTTTTACTATCTTCTTCCTACATCTTAGAATTTTTTTTGACATCTGTCTTGTAGATCACCCATATTTTGTAGGAGTTCAGTTCCACCCAGAGTTTTCCTCAAGACCTATGAAACCTTCGCCTCCATACCTTGGACTGTTGCTAGCAGCAACTGGGACACTCAGTGCATACCTGCAACGTGGATGTAAATTGTCTCCAAGGTAATCTTTCTTACTTACTTACCTGAGGTTTGAAGTCACGTTTTTTGGAGGGACTACCCCATCCTTCAATTCAGGAGTCTGTGAAAGGAAGAGGAGTTCTTAATGTGTTGATTTACTTATTCCTGTGCATGCCTGACGTAAACCCTGGTGAAAAAGTGACTGTAAGCAGTAAGCACAGTTCCTGACTTCCTTGTTTTCAGAGGCTATTAGGGCTAAACACGGATCCATACATTGTAACCAGAAAGAAGCAAAAAAACCTTTAACAAGTCATGTGAAATTAGTGTCCTCCTGTGTTAACTTTCCCTAACAGTAGTTTCACAAGGAAAGGTATTTGTCAGAGGATCAAGTAATGAAATGAAATTCTTATCTAGTTGTATTTGAATGATGGTAGTACCGAAAAAAGAAAACACTGATTTTATTTTTCAGTAGCTAAATAATTAATACTATCTAGCAGAGACAGGCCTGAAACAAAGTGGTTGGAATACTGTTAGACTTATAGAAGGGTTTGGATCTAGATCAAAGCTGAATGGTGCAGCCAAACTAAAATTATTTGTCCCAGTTCCCTTGGACACAAGAGTTTTTGGTTTATTGAATGTAGCAATAGTTTTTAGCCAGTGTTAACTCATTCTTGTTTATTTCAGTGATATCAATAACAGTTATAATTTCATTACAACAAGAATAATAAAGAGGTCAGAGGGAAGTCTAGGGTACAGTTACAAAAAAGAAAAAAATTAAAAAAGAAAATCACAAGGACTTAATAAGACAGAACGGATGCAGTGCTGACTTACTGCCTTTTCCTCTACACAAGGCTCCAAACTTATTAGTTTTGTGGGGGTGTCATTTTTTTTTTTTTGTATTTTTTGGGTTTTTCTGAGCTTCCTTTCTATTAGGTCCTTTTCTTAAGTGAGAAATAGAAATTTTGTTCTGGCCAAGCCAGGTCAGATCTATCTATTTTGGTACTCTGATCCTTATGGCTGTCAGTTGCCTTTCATAAATGCGCTTCTTTGTGCACCATGGCCAATTGTGCAGTGGTGTATATACATACAGAATTTCTTAACAATCTGGAAACTACAGCTTGGTTGATACACTCCTATTAGCATATCCTGTTGTTGGTATTAGTGGTCATTAGCTACCTTTTAAAATTTGTGCCAGTGCATTATACAGTTCAAATTTTTGTGGTGCTTGACATGAGGGAGTCTTCAAGCTCAGTGGTTTTCAGTCTTTTCTTGATGTGAGCACTCTCTGCCTCACAGTTCATCTTGTTGCCCAGGTCCCAGTATCCTTCCTCTTATTGCTTCTTCCCATAAGTATACCTATTAATCTCTCTGATATAAAGAAAAATTACTTTTTTAAAATGGGTGACCTGTATGTGTCCTAATTTAAATTTAAATCCCTTAGCATTATACCAAGTATATTTTCTAACCCTGACTTTAAGTTTCAGCACTTACTGAATGTGCTGCAGTTAGGCTTATTTCAATTAATCAGTAAAAAGTATATACCAGTCTTTTTCTTCACATTCATACAATAAACTCCAACTAGTACTTAAACATTTAGGAAAGACAAAATTTAGTACTCTCAAACTTTATATATAAAATAAAAATTTTGCCATTTACCTAATTACATGGCAACCAAACCACTCTGTCTTGAGAAAGAGCATTGGAATAGAAAAATATTTTGAGAGTAATAGAGGAGTATTTTGCAGGGAGGAACGTTCAGGAGGGAATCGCAGTGGTAATTGCAGCACATCCACTTGTTTTAACATATCCACCTGTTGAGTGGAAAGGATTTCCAATTTAAACCTTTAAATCCCAGAATTCTAGTGATTTCATTGAGCCGTAAAGCTAAGGCATGTCATAGCAAGATTGAAACAAGCCTGAAGAGGGGATTTTCTGCACACCTCATCCAGCACTGCCTACATGAATTGTAGTCATGCTCTTGACTAGAGCCAAGATGTTACCTGAAAGAGAATTTGTGGAGACCAGCAAGTTGAGCAGATTACATAAACTAAGCTATTAGAAATACCAAAAAGAGAGTTAATGATGGAGTTCTGAGACAAAAGCAAATACATATTTTAGCATGAGGTCCTTAACAGGAAAGCATTACCCCAGAACATTTAACAGCCCCATAATTAGAATGCAATTTTAGGACATCTGACACCTGGACAGAAGCCCTAGCTTCTAAGCGAAGTAAACTGCAAATTTAAAGATGCATCACACCTCCCAGGAGAATACCCTGAATAAATAAAGTGAACAATAATAAATGAATAATTGTGAGGCTTAGTCTGGTAGACAGTCTGAGACAATGCTTACACATAGGAGCAAGCATACCTACTTTGAGATTGGAATGCATCCTCCCAGTTAAACTTAGTTCCCAGAAAATTTGGTGTATACAGAGACAGTCAAGAACTGAGCAAAGGGTCAGAGTAACTCAGTGATGAGTTACTACTTAGTTACCTGAATTGGTAGTTAGGCATCTGAGTTGCCTTTGTTGTTTCAACTTCTCGTGCTTTCTGGCATGAGTGTCTAACCATCAGGCAAAGCCATGTACTTCATTTCCTTGTGAATGGTTTTAAATTGTGAACTTCCAAATATTTCCAGGGAAATACTGAAATCGCCATTTAATATGGAGCTGAGGAGGATGAGAGGCTGCCAGTTTACATATTCCATTTTAAAGAACAGAGGAGAACCAAAGGAGACTCTCAGAAAATGTACAGTACCCACAAATACACTGCCTTTTAAGAGAAGACAAAAATTTTTAATAGAAAAGTAGTGAACGAAGAGGGGAACTCTACACGTAATGTTGGCTTGTACTGAGTATTACAGTTTGATTTAAAAAAAAGTAATAAAACCTGGTTTATCCTTGGGAACAATGTCATATGGATTGCAAAACCTCTGTTGTACAATAAAACCATATTGCTGTTTCCCCCCCCCCCCCCAAGTTAAGCATCAGCAGGCTTTATTTCTTCTCTCACCTTAACACACGTCTTTATTAATGGCCTGCAAGAGTAGGCTGCAGTGCATTAATGGTATTTGCAAATGTCATTTAAATAAGAGCTGAAAGCACTATTCAGAACAAAGAAATAACATAAAAATATATAGGGAATTCAGACACCTGTGCTGAAAATAATGAAAACAGATGTTTATGTAGAGGAAGAGGATAGTAAGCTAATGATAATTAATTTAAACACAAATGTCCAGTAGATGGGAGGAAATGCAGGAAGTGTGAAATGTTTCTAGGTGAGAAAGTGTGGGCAACTGACCACTGCCAAAAGAAATTTTTGCATGTCAGTAATAAATATGCTAATGTGCCAATAGGCACCAATCCAATGCCATCTAATCACAGAGTAGTCTGTTAAGTTCTGGGAAGGTTATTAATGAAAGATTAAATTAAATAAAAGATTAAGAAAAGATTTTGAGTTGCATTCAGAGGCAAGGAACAAAAGTGTCCAGAGGTGTGGTACATAAAGACACTTGGGAAGATTTGCCCATGTAGTGCTTACTGCACTAAAATGGTCCAAGTGCCTCCTAAATCAGCTGTGTAGAGAGGTTTGGGCAAGCACCTATAAACAGAAAAGGAAGCAGCCTGTGAGACATGTTCTCTAGTGTATGAGGGACAAAGAAGGTACAGGCAGGGCTATCTCTTATGTCACCTGTACATTGTCCCCAAGCAAGAACACATCTGGCACAGTATCATATTTCTACCATTGTAGACATTTCAGAGGAAGTGAAGGATATCTTGTGATTTGAAGACTGTTAAGAGAGCAGTAAGAGAGGGGCTGCTCTACAAGATAAGGCAAACCAGGAACTGGGGTGGAAGGTGTACTGGCAGGGATAGTGTCCTCACCATCAGGAGTCAGAACCACAGTCGCCAAAGAAAGCAGGTGAACTGACGTCAGTGTCAGTCACCATATCCTACAGACAGTCCAGTGCAGAAGTGCAAAGTGATGAGATAGGTCTGAGGTCAATCCAGGAAGTCCAGTCAAGAAGTGAATACAGAACTGCAGAGTTGGGTACAGGCATGCCTACAACATAGCTCAGGCAAGGATTAGGAACCAAGGCTCCCTAGCCCATCAGTGGAGGCCTAAGTGAGGATGGTCAAGGCAGCTAAGACCTGCTGGGACCCTCAAGGCTCTTGCAGAAAACTACAGAAAAAGATTTAAAGGAAATCCTTTCAACAACAGCAGTACAAACTTAGTTAAGGCAGTTACTTTGTCATTTTAATGTTAGGTGTTTACAGTGAAGACACTTCTGAGCTAGTCAGCCTCTTTCTGTACTCGCTAAGTGAATATGCACTTTAAAGGAGTCAGCGCAAGATAACGCTTAAATGGGTCAGAAGCATTATACCTACTGTACAAGTGCCTGTTTCTCTCTATTGATTGTAAGCAGCTGAAGATGAAGATGTTTAAAGGTGAATGAATTGAACCCTATGCGAGAGACTCAGCTGAGGGTTTTTATAAAACCCAGATCCATTCTGGCATCTTGGTTGTTATTTTTGTAATGCTGGGTCCTAATAAAACTATTATCCCAGGTCTAGTTATGTGAGCGCAGCATTTATTTTAAACAGCCACAGCCTATACTAAATGTAATTATGTTTATCTTTAATTTGCATTGAGGAAGAAATGCACTTAGCTTGGCTCTTGCCTTTGCACAGAATAACATTACTATAACAATTGTTTAAATTGCTTACATTTCTAGAAAAGGACTTTTTTATCAATTATATGTTGAAAAAGAATGAAACTATTTTCTGAAACTGTGTCAAATACTTAATTTCTAAAGGACATTGATCTGGATTCCCAGATAAAACAAACAGAATGTTCAAGGAGTACCTATTTTGCCTGTTTCTTAATAAAGACATTGAAAGCAGGAACTTTTGAGCAGCTGTTTGAGAAACATAGATTTAAAATTGATCTTGAGACTTAATTCTCATGATTCTGCAGCTGAGATTAGTTGCTGGCATGATGCATTCCAGCTTCATTCCATGTAGCTCCAGCTATTGGCTGCTTTCCATACCATACCAATAGGATGGTATGAAAATACCATATTGCCATACCATATGGAAATACCTTGCCTCCTTCCATGGTTTGGACTGATGCATAGCAGATGTGTAATGATACTGTCAGTAGAACAGAGAGATCTGAAATGGGCATAAATTTGGTAATAATGGAGCCTGTGCAGGGGGAGGCTCTTTTTATTGCTTACATGTTGAGAATACAGGGATCTGAGGATGAGTGAACTTCACAACAAAACAAAACCCCATAATGTAATTTCTGAACAGAGGATATTTCAGTTCACTGCAAAGTGAAATGCCAGCTAAGTACTAGTATATATTTCATGTTGTAGTTAACTGCAAAGTGAAATGCCATATAGGTTCTGGTGATTCTTCACTTTGCAGTGGATGTATTTCCATTAACTACAGGTAGATTAGGTGTAAGGATCAAAGTGACCAGAATTCTTCATCTTGAAGACTGAAGTGACTGACTAGATGCAGTGACACTGCATGCTCTGAGTTTTGTTTTGTTTTTCTCTTGGCCACATCTTTATACTCCAGAGCCCATGAAAAAAAGAAAAAAAAAAAAATAACTGCTGTGGACACCTTAGATCTGCTCCCTAGCTCCTTTGTGTTGGGAGTCCAGTGTTACAAGAATTGTTACAAACAAGAAGTGGGTGTCAGGTTCCTGCCCAAGGTAATGACTAGGTAATTTGTACACAAAGTGAGTAAAACCTTGCTGAAGGAAATGTAAGACTTTTTATTTCTCTATTTTTCTTTTTTTTGTCAGTTTAGGGCTCCGTGTGGAAAAGACTGTCATGAAGGAAAAGCTGGGCTTATTTGGTTTCCCACCACCACCACTTTCATAGCCAGCGCATTTAAGTAATGTTACATAATACCAGCTGTAAGCACAAAATATCCATTTAGTTTTTGAGTTTAATATCCGTGTAGCAACTCTGTAATTTGGAAGGAGGTACTTTTGATTCACTTTTTATTTATTCCAAAGAGAGATGATGACTCATTTGTGGTTAGTACCATCCGGAGTTTTTCTTCAGGTGACTCATCAGCTGAATACAGCTCATACAGTAAATGTTATAAACTGGACATCAGCACTGCTTTGCAACTGTAACATGCAAGTGCAGCTATGCCAAGATTCATGAGTTCCTGTTTGCTTTGAAGTCCACTGGCAGCATAATTTTTGAAGAGGTTCAGGTTGTCTCAGAGCCAAAATTGTTCTTAATATGGTAACCACAGCTTCTGGGGACACTTAGAGATACTATTCAAGCAGCTGAAACTGTGAGACTGACAGTTACCTGAGTCTGAAGCTCAAGAGCTGATCCTTACCTGGGTATTTCCCCTACCTTTCTTGCCACTGTGGCCTACCTGTTAGAGAGAAAACTGGCTTACATCCAACAGGACAGCTGTAAAGTAGGGGAGACCACGAGGTGCTACTGCAGAAGTCCAAAGCGTGATGACAGGATCCTTTCTCTGTGATGTGGAGTCAAATCTTGTATTGAATTGGACAGTGTGGTAACAGTAACAAAATTGTCCTTGGCTGAGTAAATGTTTTAGCCTCTGTACTAGTGGCTACCCAAGTGACCCTCAGTTTCATCAAACTGGAAACAGGCCTGAGAAGTTGGGGTGGTTAAGTCAATTAAATGATGGAAGCATCCAGCATTGTGTGACTGCTTCTATTTGCAAATGCCTCTAAAACCTGTGGCATTTGGTGGGGGTGGACCTGTGATGACAGCACTGGGTGGGGATCAGCACCTGTCTTTAGGAGGTGAAGCTGGGAAGTTGTCCACTCACCTCATTGGTCCTTGAGCAATTTTCCTTAAGCATCTGCCTCTCATACCGTATTCTGTACAGAGTTCTGGCATATGTTTTCAGGCTGTGGCTGCCACAGGGCAGCAAAACCAATTAAAAAAAAAACAAATTGTGTGAAGATTTTGGGGTTAAAACCAGAGGTATAATAAGATGCAGCTCTCTGCAGTCACTGTTCTACCCTCTGTTCTGTGGACATTTTTTTCTCTTTTGCTGTGATGTGAAAATGCAAAACTGTTTTAATAATAATGAATTTTTATTCCATGTTTCCATGGGTACTTTCAGAAAGAAGTAAGTACAACGTTGGTGATGTTGTGTTTGTCTGTGCACATTTGGCATGCTTGATCATACTGTTAACACTTTCCTCACTTGAACTGTGTAATTGCCTGCCTGCTGGTGAAATTATCAAGTTGAGCATTTCTCTCTAGCCTTATAAAACACACTCTTTGTAAGAACTGCATCAACAACATGTATGTCATGTGAAGAAAGGGCAGAGTGCTGTAGGAAAAGTCTTAACGTTAGAACAGTTGGAATTTCTATGTTGTCTTGTGCAGAATATGGTACAGTGATGTAACTGTGGGAAGCTTCCCTAACAGTCAGGTAGAAATTAAATGATATGACTGTTGGTGCCATATCTGCTGTCCCACTCTATTAAAATGGCTTTTAGGTTTTACCTAATCTTTGGGGTTTTTTGTTTTTGTTTTTTTTGTTGTTTTTTTTTTTTTTAAAGAAGAGAGCATGAAATTCAGGCTACAAAATTCAGGCTTCATCAGTGCCCAGTAACAAGCATTAGTATAGCTAAGTGCAGTATGTTCACTGTTCCACTTTGCTGTTTAGATCAAAGATTTCCAGCTGTGGGGTTACATAGTTCCTCTTGAAACATTACACAGCAGGCAGTTACTGTAGATCAGCTGATGGTGTTGTGTTGAGGTGGGTCATGGGCTGATTATGTGCTTGATGTCTCAGTAGAAGATCATTCCCAGAGGTGGGGAGAGTGATGTGACTGATATCCTGTTAGCTGAAGACTGAAGGTGTCTGTGCAATGTCTGGGGTAGAGTTGATACTGAGGCTGACATGGGTATACCCACACAAATGAGGTCTGAGATTCCCTACCTATACAGTTTTAACTATACCCTGTGCTCTGCAGTACCACAATACTGACCAGAATTACTGCTGCTCAAAGGTACTTGTCAGTTCCTCAGGCTCCCTTTGCTGGCTTCTGATCTTGGGAAATTCAAGTATCTGGAAAAAAGATTGTAGAAGTAGGGAGAGGCTGAGGCTTGAGGCTCTTCTGAAGAGGTGCACTTAGAGTTAAGATAAACCTGGAGACCCAGTAGACATCACAGCTGACTGTGGATTGTTGGCACTTCTTTCTTTCAGTCACTGCTGTGATTCCTGTTCTTCACTGTTTCCTTGTTCTGGCCACTTACAAAGCGATTACTTACTTGCATGGCAGTTTGTTCTGTGAAAACCAGTCTATTTCTCTCATGAAACAGCAGAAGGGGATAAAACCTCAGAAAAAAAAAAGCTGTCAGGACATTGCTTGGAGCAATAAAAATTATTTATATTCTGATTGGAAGAGCAAGAATTGTAATTTAAGTATAAATAGAAGCATTCTGAATAAAGTTGTCTTTTAACTTTTTCTTTGGTCAAACAATGATTTTCTTTATCACAAAGGAGAAATTCCTTTTAGTCTTGCTCTGAATACTTGCTGTTCTCCATGTTGTTAATCATGGTCATAAGCACAAAGCACCAGCAAACTGTAGAATGAATGCACAGGAGCCAAGCGAAAAGAAATTGCACATACTGTTTCTCAGGTAAAATACTTTTTCTCATCAGGTCTTAGACTCCAAACTTAAGCCCATTCCTGTAGAGGAAGGCATTCTAAATACCAAAATTGAGCATGAGCTTAAAGTAGGTTTCTGGAAATGGACTGCATTTGAGGAAAGTGTTGGTTATATGAATCTTTTGGGTTGGAGGGTTTGAAATAAAATATTCGGTTTAGATCCTTCTGACCTGTGTATTGCTTTTAACAGTGACAGCTACAGTGACCTCAGTGATGACAGCTCTCTAGAAAAAGAGTTTCCTAATTCAGAAAAAGGTGAAATGATTGTATGACAGCGCAGAAATGCATGATGCTGTTGAGGTAAGCTGAATTGTTGTGATACTGCTTTGTGACATTTATTTCTTCTAGACTTAAAACACAAGACACAGTTACCTTGATACTACCTTTTGTTTCAAGTCCCATCTGAGAGCTTATGTTTTCTTCCTTGCCTGCAGCACTTAATTTTTTTCTTCTTCTGCTGCTTAACTCTGCAATTGTGATATTAAAGTCTGCTAAGTGTTTTGGATACAGCTTGTATGTAGGATGCTGTACAAAGTTAAGCTGTGTTAGTGTTTGATGGTACAATGAAAATACAGTTTAAAATGATGTGAGGGTTGTTTTTTGTTTGTTATTTCAGTTTTCAAGTTTGGATCCCTTTGAGTACACTATGTTGGCATGACTTTCTGCATTAATATTTGCTTGTAATTTCATCTGATGCATTGATACATTGAAGACATCCAAGGTTAATACTTGGATTTAATCTGCAGAGTGACAGAGATACAAACCAGTTTTATTAAGTCATAGCTTTGTTTGCTGTAGGCTTTGCAAAAGCAATATTGGATTGGTTGTTTTTTTTCACCTGTGAACATGGTGACTGTAGATTTCCTTTCAGATCTTAGTCTTTATTTTCCCTACACAGGTTCATCAGAGTTGTACCCGGTGTGGTACTCTGTTACATGTGTGCATTCATGCTTTTCCGTATTTCTGAGCACTTCTGTAAGCAGGACACAACTTTTCCCTCTGATTTCATTCCTCTCCATGGTGTAGTCACTAAGCAGCTGTGCCAAACAGATGATTAAGTCTGCATATGAATGATGCATTTCTGCCTGATGGTCTCCTGATTAAAATGCTGGCATGAGATGTGAGAAATCGGAGTCTTTAGCTGCAGTATGCATTTCTTCTGTATTTTTTATTTATTTCTTTTCCCCTCTCATGTACCACGTTAAAGATAATAATATATCTCAAAATCATAAGAGTGAAGAGCAGAATGTTAAATGATTTCATGACCTAGTGCATGCAGATACAGTAATGATGCATGTCACAGAGTGACCAAAAAATAAGTAGTCACAATGTGCCTATTTGCTCTTGCCCAGATTCTTCCCACCTCCAAACATCACTATGGCTCTGTTTCTTGAGGCCAGCACATAGTAAAGGACAGCCCCTTTAGCTTTGACTTTGCTTTCCTCCATGGAATTTATGAATGGTAATTCTGTTTACCATTGCAGATGTGACTTTTTCATCACTTTTGTGATGCTTTCAAGTAGGTATCAGTAAAGCAGATTTTATTTGAACATGTTGCTAGTGGATACCAATTGAATTCAACAGAATTACTCTAGAAAGGATTAAATAACTAATTCAAAATATAAAAGAAGGATACAAGCGTTGGCTCATTTATTTTTATCTCAGGGTTAATCAGAACTGGATACACGCATAGTCTATATTTACCTTTGTGGTTTTGCTTAAGCTGTTTGACCTAGATGAAGTGCATCCACCTGCAGTATTTACCATAGAACTACTTCAAAGTAAGTCAACAGATTTGAGAGAAACTGGCATGAAATAGACTGTTACAGAAGAAATATTTTTAATCATTATTTTTTCCATTTATTCTTCCTTACCCTCCCTCTTTTATGTTACAGAAAGTTGGGAACAGTTCAATACTGAAGAGAAGAAAGTAGAAGAGTAAGCTGCTTGTGATCCTCATAGTGTCTCCACCTATCATGTTGCTTTACTGATGACAGTTTCACTTTCTTGTAGCAAAACCAGTTCTGTATAAATGTTCTTTCTCTTTAAAAATGACAAAATGGTTGTGCACCTTAGTGGTAATCATTACTGATCATATCCTGTGTTTCAGAGTTGTCTCAGGTAAATATGTATTAATTTGCTAGTTCACAACTGTTCTTGATTTGAAGGAAGATTTGATTGTTTTCAATTTGCCATAGAACAGGAAGATGCATTGGTTCTTGTGAAGGAGAGGGAATGCACTAAAAAAATTCAAGCAAAAGTTGTTTTATCCATGAGCAGTAGAGAACTGTTTTGAGTTTGTTTTGCTATTTAGCTTGTTGCATATATATAATTTTACTTTTTTGCTCTTCAGTATGTACAAATAAAAAAATTGTTGCTGTATTTCAGCTCTTTGTGATTATAAAAATTGATGTTGGTTACACCTCTTTTCACTTTGCTTTTATAAGTGATTTCACTTTTGAAAAGCTCAAGTTTGATTTGCTGTTTCTGCTGTTTCTTCGGGAACTCTGACTGAATACTGAACGTAATTGTGATCTACAAAATTACAGAAGTAGAAAGCATTTTTGTATTTGTATTTTGTAAGAGAGAAATTAAATACACTGATATGTTAAAATGTAATTTGAACACTTGTGTGGAAATTGTAGAAGAACCAGTCATAAACCTGGAGCATTATCTGAACTCCAGCCATGTAACACTCAGTTAATTTCAATAACTGAGTATGAAGGTGAATTAAGGTTCACTCTTGTTTTCTCTCATCCAGTGACCACTCCATGGTCATGGCATTCTTTCCCCAGTAGAATAAAACAATTTATTTTAATTTAGAAATCACAAGTTATTCCACTGTATGACAGTTACAGGCACCCTTGCAATACCATGACTGCAGCCTGAATCACTGACACAGAAAGGGAATGCGAGGGGTGCTGTACCATGTTTAAGGCTGAATCCTATTAGCCCTGTAGCATCATCAGACTTGTCAAGAAGCTGGGCCCAAGCTGTGTAACTGATGGGGATCCAAATACCTGGGCCAGCTTTTCCTACAAAGAAAACTGGAATTTTGAGCTTTGTGTTTCATTGGTTTTGGGTTGGGTCCGGTCTTGTTTAACATCTTTGTCGCTGACATGGACAGTGGGATTGAGTGCGCCCTCAGCAAGTTTGCTGATGACACCAAGCTGTGTGGTTCAGTTGATACCCTGGAGGGAAGGAATGCCATCCAGAGGGACCTTGACATGCTTGTGAGGTGGGCTGATGCCAACCTGATGAAGTTTAACCATGCCAAGTGCAGGGTCCTACACCTGGGTCAGAGCAATCCCAGGCACAGCTACAGGTTGGGCAGAGAAGAGATTCAGAGCACCCCGGAGAGAAGGACTTGGGGGTGTTGGTTGGTGAGAAAATGAACATGAGCCAGCTTCAGTGTGCACTCACAGCCCAGAAAGCCAACCGTATCCTGGGCTGCATCAAAAGGAGCGTGACCAGCAGGTCGAAGGAGGTGATCCTGCCCCTCTTCTCTGCTCTTGTGAGACCTCACCTGGAGTATTGTGTGCAGTTCTGGTGTCCTCAGCATAAAAAGGACATGGAACTGTTGGAACAAGTCCAGAGGAGGGCCATGAGGATGATCAGGGGACTGGAGCACCTCCCGTATGAAGACAGGCTGAGAAAGTTGGGGCTGTTCAGCCTGGAGAAGAGAAGGCTGCATGGAGACCTCATAGCAGCCTTCCAGTATCTGAAGGGGGCCTATAAGGATGCTGGGGAGGGACTCTTCATTAGAGACTGTAGTGACAGGACAAGGGGTAATGGGTTAAAACTTAAACAGGGGAAGTTTAGGTTGGATATAAGAAGGCAATTCTTTCCTGTGAGGCACTGGAATGGGTTGCCCAGGGAGGTTGTGAATGCTCCATCCCTGGTGGTGTTCAAGGCCAGGTTGGACGAGGCCTTGGGTGATATGATTTAGCATAAGGTATCCCTGCCCATGGCAGGGGGGGTTGGAACTAGATGATCTTAATGTCCTTTCCAACCCTAACTATTCTATGATTCTATAAAAGGTAAATACCTGTACAAAAATAGAAAAGCCATTATTGCAGCTTTGTAAAACGGTAAGTTTAAAAGCTTTGCATTGCTTTAGAAAATCTCAGGTTACACAGTTTATCTCTTCACTAAAAGAAGCTTCAATGGTAATAAAATATAAAATGTATTCCTGTGGAAGGGTTTATCTAGAGCGGTTTGCAAATGCATGCATGCCTTAGAAATAGGAGGTATTGCCAGAATTGGTGTCATTGTACGGTTCCCCCAATGAGAGACACTGTTCTGTGAAAGATGAAGCATTTTCCTAAGATTGTCTGAAATGTGCAAATGTATTTTCAAATATATTGTGTTATTTAGAACTGTTTAGATACTGTGTTAAAGAATCATGGTGCCCACTGTGAACTGTGGTGTCAAGGAGGGAATTTTTCATGTAGTCAAGTGAAGCTGGAAACAGCGCCTTCATCTTTTCATCTCCCAGTGCCATTACCGATCCTCTTGCTAACTGTGCTACATAAATGAGTATCCCTGAAGACAAACCCATTACTGTCACAAGGGATCCATCTCCTCTTTGAGCTGACAGAAGCAGCAGCATGCCATTTCCAAAATGGAAAAAGGCAAATGAACTTTTTCCACCCAAATCGTGGGCTACAATTAGGAGTGTTGCCAGCAGATCCAAGGAGGTGATCCTATGCCAGAGTGGATAATCTTGTATCTACCTGTTCCTGGGTTATGTTCTGTAAGCCTGTACAGTTTACTAGCCTGGGCATAGCTGAACCACTCTGTCTGGGAAAACCTGACTGAAGAAATGTTGGGTGTGGGTATTGGGAACTGAAGCTCTGTTTTGTTGGGAGGATCAGTTGGGTGTGTTGGAGGATGACGTTTAAAATCTATGCCTGCCTTGTCCAGAAAGTGGTCCTGTGCTGATGCCAGCTATGGTCAGCTTTTCCCTCACAGGAAGTTTGGTGGCTTGGTTGAGTTGGACCAGAGTCTGCACTTGTTTCTGAACAAGAGGAGCAGCATCCAAGCTTGGATGTGACTGTGGGGTAGATATTGCACTTAACTGATACTGTAGGCAGAGCTGTATCTTACTGAGTATCTCTAGTCAGGTGTTGTATCTCATCAGCACAAGCTTCTGTTTCACTGTAAGATTTACAGGTAAAGCCTTTTAGCATCTGCTCAACATATGTAACATGCACTGCCTTGAAGCTGAGGTTTCTTTCCTTGTTTATTTAGCAGCTTGAGAGATAACCTTTGTGTGCTAACGTAATGACTGCAGAGGTTAAATCTAATAGAAAGTCTTACATCTAAGTTTTCCTGAGACACTGAGGAGGATTTGCCTGGCCACCCAGACTATTCCTCATCAGGGAATGCTTGTGGAAAGGTGCGCCAGATCTTGCAGTAGCTTGCTGTTTTTCTGAAGCCACTGAAGTGATGCCAATTCATATCGCACAGTGTGACTTTATTGATTACAGAGTGGTACTGAAGAGTGCTTACTGTCACCTGGGATTCATTGGACTCAAGCGTGGTTCTAAATTCCTCTGCAGGTGTCTAAGCCCTTGCTTGCCAGGAATACCCTGGAGGTTTTGAGCAGTAGGTTGGAAGTAAGGCTGACTTCACAGCAAGAATCTGTGAGCAGGAAGTACAGCACCAAGCCAAAGGAAGTTTTCAGGAAAGAAAAAAGCAGATAGGCAGTGATGGCAAGGGGCTTGCTGCTCAAAAGGGTGTGGAGGAGGTTAAGGAAAGAACAAGTGTAAGAGCAACAAGTGACTTGCCAACCTAAGCTGACCTCCTCATGGGAGCTGTTACACTTACTATAGAAATGCAAATGAAAGGTTCTCCCCAAACTCAGGGTGTGTGTCATGATGACAGTAGGGAGTGTAATTACAGCATACAGGACTTCTGAGTCATCTTGGTTGCAGCTGACAGTGAGGCCAGATCAGCATGGAAGTGAACAGGAGCTGTGGAAACCTATGTGGGACCGGCTGAAGCTCATTTTCCCCAACTGTACTGTTTGCATATGTGAGGTGACTAAAATTTGCTGAGAAAGGGAGTCAGGTGGATCAAGGAGGGGATCAGAGTAACATTGCTCTTGGGAGAGCACGTGGCCTCCTGCAGCATCCTGGGAAAACTCACTGCAACGTGACGGGATGCAAACAGTATAATCCTTTCTGTACCTAGGACTGAATAACACCTTATCCTTGCACACAGGCTGGAGGAGGCTCCTTCACTTGGGCATCTGCATGAGAGTTGTGATACATTTCTGTGCCTCAGCATTACATCCCACATACTGCTCAGTTTTTCCCTGCTAGCATAGTGAATTGGTAGCTGTTATCCCTGTGGTAACTTCCAGAAAAATTCTTCCTCTTCCCAGTGCACCCCATCCCCACTCTTGACGTAGTCAGCGCTTACTTCCAGGATTTCACTCATTTTCCAAATTAGCATCCTTTATATTTTTAATGTCAATGAACTTAGTGTTTTAGATATTTCTCCTTGTATTGGATTCTCAGCTCTGTCTAGATTTTTCAGGTGTTCAGCTGTATCTCATCTGTTTACTACCATGTGCTGACAGAGTGAAATGAATTAAGGACTCATCTAAAATAAGGATACAAAAAGAATCTACGCATTTTCTGCTGTTTAGGGTGTTCATATTTGTGTAATTCCCCTAAAATGATCCATAATATTTACATAAGCATCTATTAGATATCTGAAGAAAATGTTGCCTCATCTGGAGCTTCATTTGGAATAGCAATTCCAGAAATGTTGTTTTTCCATTCTCTGGTTGATTATGTGTAAGCTGCTTTAAAAAAACCCACCACCACCACCAAACGTGAAACAAACCAACCAAACAAAAAACCCAAACCAAACAATATATGTGTTTTAATATGAATTAACTTTCATGGAGCACAGAAGTAAACCAGTTGTGTTATTCTTTATTCATATACAAGTGAACTGTTTGGTTCCTTTCTCCTTAAAATTCCTCATGGATTGCAGGATCTAACATCCTGGTCTGACCTAGCTGACCTTTTGCTAGAATAATGTCTGTTAAACTGCCTTTCATCTTGTAAAAACGGTGTACTTTAATCTTTACACTTTGATGGTTTGTTTATATATGAAATACTTTCTCTGCTTGTAGCCTCTTAGTTAGGTTGAGGAAATTGGTTTCTTTATAGAACTCCTGGCAACATACTAGCATAGATTTGGATCAGAGCCTAGAAAACCAGCTTTTGCCTGAAGTGTAGATAGTGTTCTGTGCTTTAGGAGTGCTTCTGGAAAGGTAAGTCTATCTTTTCCACCTCTGTGGACTCTCTGTTAATAATTTAAGAAATAATAATTTAACAGTTGGAAGTTTCTTGTGAAGTAACAGTAGCAGTTTGGGTATCCTAAGAACTGACTCAAGCCT